TGTGTGTGTGTGTGTGTGTGTGTGTGTGTATGTTAGACCAGTTTATGTGTGTATGTAGGATGTTAGACCAGTTTATGTGTTTATGTAGTATGTTAGACTAGGTTAAGTGTTTATGTAGTTAATAAAACTTTACTTGTATCACACTTGACGTGTTCATTGTTTGCTCATAACCGGAGTCACTAATCATGCAGATTTACGTTACAAGCTTATAGAATTGTACAGTAAGAAAGTTATTTCCCTTAACCAGGAAATTAACGTTCTTAGAATTGACAAGACAGTTGACCCTGAGAGGTCAGCTAAATATCTACAGCGGATCTAAAATATGAATAGTTAATTATAACTAGTTATGGTTAATTATTCATATTTCCTGTCGTTGAGCTAAATTCGCTACACTAACGTCTGGCATATTTTGTCTAAAATGGCCGTACTGAAACCGCTAAACTGTCCCATCCCAGTGTTATTGTATATATCTTCCTAAAAGACACAAAGAACTATGAAACATGAATGCAAATATGCCCTGATAGCACATGGACATCTTGAAGAAGTCTATTTCACGTCTGCATTTACATCTGCAAGATGTATTTTCTTATTTTTTAAGTGTTTGCTCATCTGCAATTCGTCTTTGGGACATTTCCTTTCAGATGTACAATACACGTTTATATGTTTATGAATGTATATAAAACTGACATCTTAAAAGACGTCTATCAGATGTTTGTACACAGACATCTTGCTGACATATGTGCTATCTGGGATGAGCATGTTTTGATAAAGAATACGACCAGGTCCATGGGAAACCATTGCCAAGATAGGAAATATTTTATTACAGAGAAAAAAACTTTTCTTCCAAAATATAGAAATCTGTACAACTTCCGCACAATCAATTTACATGAACTGTACAAATTTACAGCAGTTCATCACAACATACCCAAGAATGAGGAAAAAGAATGAACACAAGAGATGTACAGACAGGAAAAATCACAAGATACAGACAGCTTTATCTTGGGTTGCTCAATTTTTTCTTTTTTTTGTTTTAATTTTTTTTAAAAAGAAAGAAAGAAAGAAAAGAGGGGTAAAAAAAAAACAAGGAAAGTCTATCAGCACAGAGCATGGAAACTGATCAATACATTTTTTTTTTTTACCAAAACAACTTTGGTCCTCTCCAACACTCCTAACACAAATGGCTTGACTTATGAAAGAGGAATTCATGTTAAAATATGAAATACAAAAAGGAACACGTCTACACACAGCAAAATATCAATTATTGGCACTTCCCATATGTATGGTTATGTACTTACTCTACCATATGTTGTACAATAACAATACATTCTACAAATATGGAACCACCTCAGATGCGAAAGTGGCAATAACGTGAATCACTTCTGAAATTCCCAACCGAATAATTCCCTTCTGTTTTTCACATTTTAACCTGCACATCCATAAGAGTTTCAATGAATGTCTGTGGCCTAAGCTTGGCAATACATTCCAATCGAGACACATCGGTCTCAAAGTCACACAACTTCAATGTTTAACCTATTAGTGCATTTCATGTGCTCTTGCCTCAGAGTAGACTTGAGTTTAGTCTCATGACGATACTTAAAACTTGTGTGCAAATGCTTACCGAACTGAAACAGAGTGGAAATGGTTTGCTGATGTTATTTCAGTGGAGGTGGGGGAGGGGGTAAAGTAGTTTGTAGTAGTTTAAAAGCTGCAGATCTAAAAAGCACTCGATTTGTCTGTTCCAACTTGGTTACGATCACCAGAATGAGGTTAAAAAGCTTTAATATTAAAACCATCAGGCGAAGGGGGCCGCCTCTCAGAGTTCAAAGCATTCAGAAGGGTGGGATGGCAAACTGAGTCCAAATATCAAGGTTCGACCCGTACTTAAAATGTAATTTAAAAACGCCTTTCCGCCTCTCTAAAATAGACCAAAACAACACAGAAAGGGACGACAGTGCTTCGACAACCTGGCGTTACCCATGGTCCTCTAGGGTCGAAAGTATTAGCACACATTGGACTGATAATCAGCACCTTGTCTCTGCAGTTTAGCGGCTAAGGCAAGAGCAGTCCGTCGCACACAAAGCCCGCAACCAGCTTATTTCCGTCCACTCACGCCAATGTAAACAGAATCGTCCAGAACCAGGAGCACACCGTATGTCTCTCCCCATCCCTACTCGGCCCTGTACGTAAGGCTCAGTAGGTTTTGGAGTGCGCTTGGTATGTGTGCTGGCATAAAAACTCTCCTGCAGACTGCGAGAAGGGGGCCGGAGAGGATTGTAGCTGCCCTGATGTGAGGGTCCTACCCCCTCCTTCGACAGGCTTAGGGAGGGAGGTGATATGTTTTGACGGTGCACTCCTAGTTAAGACTGAGACCGGTGACGACTGGCTGGAAAGTGCATCGGGAGACCCTCTGAAACAAGCGAGCATCACTGGCCCTGCGATTCTGCGAGAAGATGGGCAACATTGTTCTGTTTTTTGATGCCGTTTCTTGCTGGTCTGTTGACTCTTGCCATGTACTGGCCTTAAATGGAGTCCAATAGATGGAGAACTAATCTCTTAACAGCCTGAATCAGTCATTCGAAGGGATAAAAACGGGGAGAGAGAGAGGGAGAGAGAGCGCAAGATCAATCCAGGATTGAAATGTCTCCCACCTTCAGAAATATTGCAACCACGTTGCTCTGTGCAGAGCACAAACAGAGAGAGCGAATTACGACAACTGAATGAGGAGGTACGCGGTGGAATGCTGCTAGGTCGAATCGAAACGTCACACAGTCTAAAATGTCGAAGTGCATTCAACGTCCTTTCTAAATCAGGCAGAAAGTAAAGACCACATCTGCTCAAAGTAAAAAAAACAACAAAAAAAAAAACAACAACTTTGCTACATCTTTCATTTTGGTATGACGAGGGGCTTGAGTAATCCAAATATTTTGTCTGCATTAGATTTCTTTTTTTTTTTTCTCTCTCTCTTTTTTGTTACAAATTACATTCATCCAGGAGGGAGCCCCTAGAAAAAGCTACAAGCATGAGAACCTTTGCATCACAGTGCCATCAACGGCTAGCGTGGGTAACAGTATGACACAGGTATTCCACTGCGGCAGTGTACAGGATGGAGGCTGTTTGAAACCGGTTCATGTCGACCTGAAGCTCAAAATAAGGCCTGGTTGCATACCAGACACAGAGAAAAGAGACAAAAGTACCGCTTTGTGGTCCAAAAAAGTGAGGTAAAAAAAAAAAAAAAAAAAAAAAAAAGAGGCTTGTAGCGGATACTCTGGTTCGGCACGGGTGCCGGCAGGTCTGGGCTTCAGTTCAACAGTGAACGGTGAAATGATAAAACAGGATTCTGAAAATAATTCCTTAACATTTTAGAGGGAGTTTGCATTTATGCGATAAACAGTGAAAGCGAAAGTGCAAAGTCAACATCGGCAGACGATGGTGGAAAAAGCCCCCCAGGACCACCGACGTGGGAGTGGGCCAGTCTCAGTGAGCTGGGGGGCCGGGCGATGTTTCAGGTCTTCATTAGCTGCCCCAGGGTCAAGCCTCTGGTAGATCCAACACAATAACAGAACAGACAATCAAACGAGTGAAAATTAAACCTACGAGGTTTCCATCACCTGGGTGATAGGACACATCCTGTTTTTTTTCTTCTTCTCCTTCTCCTTTCTCTTTTTTATGTTTGAAAAATGACTTCTGTGACCCATTTAGCTGGACACAGTCATCATGTAGGGTTTAGTAGGGCTGGTACGACCCAAAACCAGTAGTTCCTCCTTACAGCTGATGTGACTGTCCACCATCGGGGATACCTGGGTGACAGAGGAGGCGGGGTTGCTGTTTCCAGTGGTGATGCTGGGGTTTCCGTTGGTGCTGGGGTGGGACTCGTAGAGCACGCAGATCGAGCCGTCCTCTCCGATGCGGTAGGACACTTCGAATGGGTCAACCCACAATGTGAGCTCACTGGGAAGCAGCAGGTAGAGTTGCTGGATGCTCAGGCCGATGCGCTGGCCGGCCTGTCCCACCAGAGGGTCCATCTTGTGGTTGATGCGTATGCAGCGATACCCAGAACCTTTGTTGGGACGGTCTGGGAACCAGTGGTGCTTGTATTGCTCTGTAAAAGAGAGATGGAGGTGATTTTGTAATCTTGCATATATGAAATAATAAATAAAAAGCATTGGTAAATAAAACAACAAAATGAACAGACATTACATATAATAATAAACTCATTTGTTTCATTGAAATGCTGTTTAAGATTTTTTCCGTGAAACTGAATTTTTTTTTTTTTTTACTCAGTAACAGATGCCCAGATATTACAATTTTGGATGAAAAGTCACTGCCAGTATCACAATTCTATGTTAGTTTTTTTGTTGTTGTTGTTCTTAAAAACCATTTGAACAATTAAATTAAAACCGATTTAAATTATAACTATTAATTGTAATGGTCATTAAAGACATTCATTTTAAGATCTGTTAAAAACAGAGTTATTGAAGAACACTATCATCAAGTTTTATATTTTATATAAAATATAAAAAGTAAAAATGGAACTTGCAAATCATTTTTTTAACTCGGTTGGGTATGCAGATATTAAAACTGGCTGAAAAGTTTACACAAATTTTTATGTTATATAGGCATCATAAAAAATCTGTTAGTTTGTCTCAATCATTTAAAATTAAATCAATTGTTTTAAATTGTCAATTATAATCTACATAAAATATTAATTTTGAGATTTATAATGTTTAAGTATATTAAACTATAACTTGAGTATAATTAATTATTAGTGTAATTAAAGAACACTATCATTAACTAAGTGATTTCTAGATGTAAAATTAGGTGGAAATGAACATGCATTTTTAAATATCCATTATCAGCCATTCAGGTATTATTACTAATATTGGCAGATAGGTGACATGTCCAATAAACTAATATTACAATTTATGTAGTTGTTAATTATAGGCATCCTTAACTACACTAAGACAATGGTTATCGTTTTTGAATCCATCAAAAACTTTTATTTTGTTTGCGTTATTCTAGCAATAAAAGGAAACATGGATGCAATGCAAGGACGGATGGACAAATGATTACATTTAGAAAGGAAAAGAAAAACAACTAAATACTACTTATCTGCCCACACATACCATAACCATAAATTAAGCATGGTTTAAAAAAAAAATACAAAAATACAAATTCTGATAGTTCGGCCTTGTATTGCAGCAAATGTAACAGTAGAAAGGGGGCGAGGGTCTAGAAAGGATGTTTTTCACAGTGAAATTATAGTTGGTAGAACACAGACAAACAACGATTAACCATCTGTGTCAGAGGCCTACGTGACGGAGGGAGAGAGAGAGAGAATCATTTGATTACACAATCCCCTTTTGGCCCGAGAGTCACAAAGTCTTCAAACACAACTAGACCAAAAGGGTGAAGTCCTGGCAGAGCAGCTGGAGGGGGAGGGACCACTCTCTTAAAGACAAAGTGTCCCATTTAGACAATCTGATTTCATTATATCATGGTTCAAATGGATCAGCTTTGCTTTTTGCTAGTAGGTGATGTTTTTGTCCATATCTTTTGAGATAATTCATTAATAATAATGGTGACTCCAAACATCAAATCATGACTTTTCAAATGTGCCAAGTTACACCCTGCACAAAGGACTCGTCTTCCAAAAAGAAAAAGACTTATCGCAATTGCTTTTTCGTTCCCTTCTGGCTCTGTGTATTGGGTGACAGGTGGAGAACAGGAGACAGAGAGATGGGTCTCAAGCCTCTTTGTGCAGCTCTGAAATAGGCCAGGCCCCCGCAGGCCACCTGTAGACTTGGGTTAGATAATGCCGCCTGTGTGCTGTCTGTGATGTGACGTCCCATTCTCCTGGAAGCTAAGTACACAATGATCAATGCAGATCAACCCACCCACAACTCTGGACGGAGCCCAAACCGCAACAATGCTCGTACTACACAATGTTCAACAAAGTGAAAATGTTGCTTGTCGTTGTCCAAATAGCCTTGTGGTGGCTGTATTATGAAGTCTTATTTGTGAAACAAGGCCTGCTGTGAGGTTGAGAATTAGGACAAATCCGTGACAAACGTGTATTTAGTGATGTGATGAGAACAGGAAGCAGAAACAGATTGATCTTACACAACAACTGTTTTCAATCTGGCAATCCTCTCTAAAACACACATTTTAATTGTGGAGAAGGAACTAACCCACTTTTTCTACCCTATGGGGATTATGAGGAGTCTTTGTTCCATTGTGTGGACATATGTTGGGCTGAGAACGCTGGGAAGGCAAGGAAAGAGGAAAAACTAAACAAATGCTCTGCAACAGTAATATGTGATGTGAAACTAGCAGCCACACATCCTCCCTTCCACCACTGACGGCCATTTTGTCTGACTGGGGCCACAACTCCATTTGTTTACAAACAGCATTTAGTGACTGCCTGTTCCCAACAAAAATAAAACATGTTATAATACTAATTTTATATATATATTATATATATATATATATATATATATATATATA